TTAACAAGTTACTAGCATGTTACTAGCATGGTTAGCAAGTTAATAGCATGATTCTAGCATGATTAGCCTGTTACTAGCATGGTTAACATGTTTGCTAACATGATTCTAGCATGACTAGCGTGTTATTAGCATGTTGTTACCATGATTAACATGTTACTAGCATGGTTAGCATGATTCTAACACGATTAGCATGTTACTAGCATGTTGTTAGCATGTTTCTAGCATGATTAGCATGTTACTAGCATGCTGTTAACATGATTAACAAGTTACTAGCATGTTGTCAACATGATTAACAAGTTACTAGCATGTTGCTAGCATGATTTTAACATTATTAGCATGATACTAGCATGATGCTAGCATGTTTCTAGCATGTTTAACAAGTTGCTAGCTTGTTTCTAGCATGATTAGCGAGTTACAAGCATGTTGTTATCATGATTCTAGCATAATTAACAAGTTACTAGCACGTTGTTAACATGATTAGCAAGTTACTATCATGTTGATAGCATGATTCTAGCATGATTAGCATGTTACTAGCATGATTCTAGCATGATTAGCATGTTACTAGCATGATTCTAGCATGATTAGCATGTTACTAGCCTGTTGTTAGCATAATTAGCAAGTTAGTAGCACTTTGCTAACATGTTTCTAACATGATTAGCATGTTACTAGCATGTTGTTATCATGATTAGCATGTTACTAGCATGTTTCTAGCATGATTAGCATGTTACTAGCCTGTTTATATCATGTTTAGCATGTTTTTAGCATGTTAGCATGATTAGCAAGTGACAAGCATGTTTCTTGCATGTTTAGCAAGTTGCTAGCATTTTTCTAGCATTATTAGCACGTTACTAGCATGGTGTTAGTAGTTTGTTCGCATGATTAACAAGTTACTACCACGTTTCTAGCATGATTAGCATGTTACTAGCATGTTGTTAGCATTATTAGCAAGTTACTAGCACGTTGTTAACATGATTAGCAAGTTACTATCATGTTGATAGCATGATTCTAGCATGATTAGCATGTTACTAGCCTGTT